GAGGAGCCGGCGCGCCAGCGGCGCCCGCTCCCTCCGCCTTGGAACTAACTCCGGGGCGGGACCCCCGGCGCCCCCGGCGCCCCCGGCGTGCTTGCGCCCGGAGGGGCTCTGAAACCCCGCGCTTGCAGCTGGGACTTCGGGCGGCCCGCAGCCCGCTGTGAGCTCCCCAGCCTCGGCGCCCCTCGGCCCTCCGCGGCTGGACACCAGGGGCCGGGGTAAAGGGACAACTGAGAGAGCCGGGACGGAGAGAAGCGACAGAGAAAAGCTGCTACGGGGCGCCCGCCCGGCAGCCCGCGGCGCCAGCTGCAAAGGCCCCGCCTCCTCTGCTCTGTTGCTAGGGGGCAGGAACCGCAATGTTGCCAATCGACTTTGGCAGCCATGTTACTTGAGGGCAGACATTGTAACTGAAGCCACTCTGACAGCCATCTTGCTTAGGGGCAGAAGTCCGGCCCCTGGCGGCCATCTTGCTTGGGACATAATTCTTACAAAGTTTACTGATTGTCAATTAATGCTTCTTCCACAGGTAGAGCTAATGGAGAAAAGCCTCAAATGTACAGATAATAGAACTAGAACTCTGAGGACGCATGCCACACAGAGGGTGGTACTTTGTTGCGCAGCTTTAGCTAACTGATACACTGCCTGAGTCCAAATTTTGCAAGAGGATTTTGCAACAACAAAACAGACCCAAAGGGAGGTTTTTGGGCCCCTAGCTAACCAAGTGGTCCCTGCCCTTGGGGACTGATCCCCGGCGCTCTCCAGGGAGCCAAGGTCAGCCCACCCTTGGCAAGGGCGAACCGGGACAAGAATGCAAAGAGTGCAGGGGGCCACAAGAGCGATTTAGGGAAAGAAAGGAGAGCAAGTGGCCGCCATCCCAGGGGCCAGGCTGGGCCGCCTGACTTACCAGAGCGGAGAGGCGGTTTCCTGCACAGGGGGCAGCTGGAGTGGCCGCTGGAGGTTCCTCGGGACAGCTGGTGGCCATTGGCACATTCCTTTCTCTCTCGAGCGTCCTGGCCCTTGTCCTTCAGATGCGCTGGGCCTTTCCCCTGCGGGGACGGAGGTGAGGCGTAGAATGTCCCGTGCACGGAGACCTACCTCGAGTCCCAGGGCGCCGGGGCCGGGGCGGCAGCCGAGGGGGCGGGGGTCCCGGGTCCTGCCCTGACCTTGTCCTTGTGCCTGGTGACTCGGTGGCGGAGGGAGCTGAGCCTGTGCTTCACCCCGGCGGTGCCCCTGTCACTCCTCTCGGTCTTGCCGGCTCCGTCCTCGCTCCTAAGGGGCGGGAAGACGGCTGAGGAGCGGCAGCCGCTCGCAGGGCCTGAGCTGGGCCTGCCATCCACCGCCATCCATCCCCCTGGGCGCCTCCTCCTGCTTCACCCCTTCTGTGGTCCCCGCTCTCTGCCTCATTTATTCACTCATCAGACATTTGAGGGTGTTTGCAACGTTCCAGGAACCACAGGGACAGGGTTTGCAGGGGACCAAGCGACGCGGTCTCAAGCCTGAAGTCCCGTGACGGGCCCAGGCTGGAAATCTTGGCTCTGCCATCTCGGCCTCCTCCCCCGGACCCACCGCTTCCCCACCTCCGACTCTGATGAGCAGGATTTCTCTCAAACCCAGCTCTCCTCTCCTCTCTCGGTACCCCAGCCCCGAACCGCTGGGGTGCCCCTCCTGGGCCACAGGCACGTCCCCATGAAATAGGTACTTGCTAGGCCAACGGCAGACAGAGCCGGCTTGGCTGAACCTACGCCCTGGAGGGAGGCTCTGCTGCCCCCGCTGCCCCCCCGCGGCCCCAGCCCTCTCTGCTCACTGTCCTGGGCCGCTAGAGAGCTGTGGCCCTCAGCTTTGCAGAGGCGATGTGGCCTCTGCCCACTCCCCTCACTGCCCCCCTCCCGCACCGCCCAGGCACAGTTCCCCCCTTCGAAGGCAGAAGGCACCGTTTTCTTTCCTCCATCCTCAGATGTGAGGGCCGGTAAACTGCTCGTCCATCAGAACCCAGCTCAAGCCGTCACCTCCTCCAGGAAGTCTTCCTCCCCCCACTGCAGGGTGTATGAGGAGCCCCGCCCTCACCCCTTCTCTTGCCCTTGCCGGTTCCAGTGAGAGGGCGGGCCCAGCTCCTGCCCCCAGCTCAGGCCAGGCACGTGTGTGTGTGCCAGGCACGTGTGTGTGTGTGCCAGGCACGGTGTGTGTGTGTGTGTGTGNTGTGTGTGTGTGTGTGTGTGTGTGTGCCAGGACAGCTGTGCGAAGCCAGGGCCCGGCTCCCAGCCCCCCACCCGCAGCCCTGCCTACTTACTCGGACAGGAACTCAAACCAGGTGAGGTCTGANTGCCAGGCACGTGTGTGTGTGTGCCAGGCACGGTGTGTGTGTGTGTGTGTGTGTGTGTGTGCCAGGCACGGTGTGTGTGTGCGTGTGTGTGCGCCAGGACAGCTGTGCGAAGCCAGGGCCCGGCTCCCAGCCTCCCACCGGCAGCCCTGCCTACTTACTCGGACAGGAACTCAAACCAGGTGAGGTCTGAGTGGGCTCCTCTGGGGCTGCCGGACAAGTGAGCCCTCTGCTGAGCCCTGCAGGACCAGAGGGGACAGACATTCGGCTCAGAGCACCCGCCCTCCCCAGCTGCCCCTTTCCCTTGGGGTCTCTGTGGACAGGCGTGCGCCCAGGGCCGTGGTCCGAGAGCCCACCCTTCCTCCCCACGTGGGCTGGCGTGTATGGTCCTCGGGGTGTATGTTCTGACAGAGGCAGTGACCCGCTGGGTGGAGCAGGGTCAGCACATCAGGGGCTTTCCTGGCGGGCCGCAGCGCCTGGGAAAGATGCACCTTCTCTCCCTGAGGACCTCCTCTCGCTCTGAACCCGTCCCCGGGCTCTTCACGATGCCAGCCCTCCCCTCCTCGCTGACGGCCCTGTTCCTCCCCGCCTCTCCCACCTTTCCTGCCCCATTTCTCCCCTTCCTCTCCCCAACCTGTTTCCCAGCCCTGTCCCCAAACCTGCTTACTCTCACCCCTGTCCCCATACCTGTCTGGTTCCCTGTCTGTCCCCCACCTGTCCCCTGTTCCCTCGCACCTGTCTCTTCCACTCACCCGTGGTACTCTCGAAGTTCTTGCAGTACCTGTTGGACCATCAGCCTGGGGGGGAATAAAATAGCCCACGGTTGTCCCAGATTACAGACATTCTCCCCGAGATGAGCTGGGACGGCCTCACCGTCATGGGTCCCAGTGCAGACCCTAACCGGGAGCCCCAACCTCTCTCCTGATGCCAGGTTGGAAACTTTCTGAGGGGCCTGCGTCCCTCCCCTGGGAGGATGGGGGGGAAGACTGAGCTTATGGGGGGACTGAGAGGGACTGTGGCTGCCCGGGTCACTTACTGCCAGCAGTGCAACAACCTGCACACTCCTCCCACTGCCTTGACCCCTGGCTGTCCACGGGGCTCCTCCCCCCCATGGGGCAGACACTCACACATGATCCGGCTCCACGTGGTCCTTTTCCAGACTCTCCAGCACTGGCGGCTCCAGGCCTGGAAGTAGCCCCCCCACCAGGAGGCACAGGTGTGAGGAGCTCTGCCCCCCCCACTGGGGGTATATGAGGAACCCCACCGTGCACTGGGCTCCCCCGACCCACCCCTGCAGAACTGGGGGTCATCCAGAGGGGCTTGCCGCTCAGGAAGAGGCACGAAGCGGGAAGAGAGCCAGGAAAGGGGGTATCCCCAGCTTTTCACGAGAGCTCGATGCTCTAAGGGCTTTGCACATGTGTGCTCAGTGAAGCCCCAGTGGCCCTGTGGAGACACACCGATGTCTCCATTTGTAGAGAAAGCTGCAGAGGCTGACACTTGGGTAGTGGTAGGTTTGGGTTTAGCGTGCAGGTCTGTCTGACACCAGAGACACAGCGCTTAGGACAGAGAGTCAGAAACAGACAGGGAGACAAAGAGAGGGACAGAGTCAGAAAGAGGAGGGAGGGCTAGGTCGTTGCGGTGGTGCCCCCCGCCTTGAGACCCCGGGGGGCAGGGTGGGGACAGATGCTGGAGGCCTTTCCCCCTCTCTGGAAACCCCTCCCCCAGGACATCCAGGAGACCCTAAACCCCCTCCAGCTTCTCTGAGGTCCAACTGGGACCCCATCCAGGGCACCCTCTAGCCAACCCCCCACTACGCTACTTGGTTTGAATGGGGGAACAGACTGGGCCTGGTTACCTTGAACAGCTTGAGTGGGCACCTCCAAAGCCTGTGAGATTTCCAGGGAGCTGATCTCATCGAAGGACTCAGGGACTGACTGAGACCTCACTCTTTTCTCCAGGCTGTCACATTCCTGCAGGGAACAAGCATCTTGCTAAGCCAGGTGGGCGCCCCAGGCTGCAGGGAGGCTCCCAGATCTAGGCTCCTCTGCCCCAGCCTCTAGTCACAGTCAGGGCCCCCCCAGGCACGGGGCAGGTGGTCTCCCTCCCGGCCAGGCGCTGCACTTGCCCCTCGGGGCTGTGGGCTGGGGCCCTGACACTGAGCAAGGACGCCCAGGCGCTTCCCAGCTGTGCGCTGGAGTCCCAGTCCTAAAAACAGGCCCCTCAGTTGCAGACTCCAACCACAGACAGGGTCCTTCCTGCTGCAAAGATGCCGAGATGTCCCCCTGCTTCCCGGGCAATTTGTTGCCCTTTTGGCCAAGGATCCCCTGCTGTGGCCCCCTCCTCGGTGAAGGACACTCAGGCCTGGGCTGGAATCTCAGGGCCCAGCCATGGGCTACATCATGGGCAGCCCAGCCGCAGCAGGGAAGCCTTACGGGTAAGGCTCTCCCCATCACCTGGAGCACCGTACCTGGGCCCAGAGGTGTGCTATTGTCCAGGGTGGCTGCAGGTTGCACCCACCTTGCCTGGGTGCTCTGCTGGGGTCCAGGCCTGCAGACACGCTCCAGGAAGGTTCAGAGTGAGGCTGGTCAGCGTCCGAGGGAGACTGCGCTCCTCACTCACAGCCGAGGAGTCTAGGCTGAGCCTGGTGGAAGGGAGGGGTTCAGGGCTCCAGCAGGTCTTTTCTACCTGGCTGCCATCCAGCTCCAGAATCTGGGGGGTTGGGAGGACCCCCAGACAGTGCTTCCGGGGCAGAGAGGGGTCCAGTTCTCGCTATGTCAGAGGGGTGGTGGAGGGGGTGGAGCCAGGCTGGTGGATTTGCTGAAGCCGCATTTGCATTCCAGACCCCCCATTTTTACATGGACTGGCTTTCTGTTTGGGGTGACTTGAGAGGGTTGGAGGGGATTGGGCGGGGGTGGCCAAAGCACCCCTCCACTCTTTAGGGCTGCCACTGTGGTGTGTGTGGAGTCGAGCACTCATATGCATTTGGATCCCAAGTGCATCTGTGGCTTCGTGCATGCGTGTGCAGCTGGAGTGCAAGTCATACGTTTAGGCTTACATGTGTGGGTTAGAGCAGGTGACTGTGCCAGCTGGTGGGTTGCATTTGGGCAGCGGTACACCTAGTGTGTGCGGGCAGGTGTGCACGTCCGGGTCACATCTGCCTGCAGTGTGCATGTCAGCGTCATTTTGGGCTTGTGCACACTTGTCCAGCATGCGTGTGTTTGCCTACGCACATGGATTTGTGTGCCCACACAGGCTCTGTGGGCGGCATGCACGTGTGTCTCGGGAGAGGGCTGCCTCTGCCAGTGCAGACACCCCTGATCCTGGGAGGGCGTCATGGGACGCACTGGTGGTGGGGGACCAACCTCTGCCAGCTCTCGGAGCAGCTCCGTGACCTCTCCCAGCTGCATCTCCGAGGCAGGCCCTGGGGTGCTGCTGAACTACAGAAGGATGGACCCCTTCCTGCTGCTTCGCTAGGGGGGTCACTGTCCCCGGCCACTCCAGTCTGGCTGTGGGAAGGGGCCCCAAGGCCCAGGTCCTGGAGATATTCGCTGCCCTGAAGGGCCTCCAAGTCCAGACTGAGGTCCTCTGTGCTTTCCCCGAGCTGCCCAGGAATAGCATCCTCCTGTAGGTGGGGGGAGAAGAGGACATTGACTGAAGGCAACAGAGGCCCCCACGACCCAGACCCTGCCCATCCCCCTCCTGGCAACTTGGGCTCAGCACAGCCTTCTCAGGGCGGGTGGGGCGGGATGGAGGGCAGCCCCACAGCCCTCTGTCTCACCTGGGCCTTCAAGGCCTTATCCACGCAAAAGGGGCGGGAAGCCTGGGCTTGCTGACCTGGTTTCACCTCCCTGTGAGTTTCCATTTGTCTTAAGGAACCCCTGCCCTGCTGTCACCCTGCTTACTTTAAGGCTCGAGGAAGATCGCTCCTGCAAACACAACTTGTCGAAGCACCACACAGAAGTATGTCATCCTTGCCGTGAATGGCGGGATTTCAGGCAGTGGCAGGGCTCCTTGTCCTGTCTGGGGCTGCTTGGGGCTTGTGCATCCCCTGGGCCCTAAATCTCCCTCCCAGGCAGGGACTAGGGTGAGGCAAGTGAGGCATTTGCCTCGACACAGAACTGAAGGGGGTACCAAAAACTCAGGAATCCATATAATATTTTAATGTAATTTTAAAAACAACTTGCCCAGCCAGTGTGGCTCAGTGGTTGAGCATCAACCCATGAACCGAGAGGTCAGGGTTCGGTTCCCGTCTGGGCACATACCCAGGCTTCAGGGGGCTGCAGGAGGCAGCCGATTGATGAGTATCTCTCTCATCATTGATGTTTCTATCCCTCTCTCCCTCTCCCTTCCTCTCTCTGAAATCAATAAAAACATTTAAAATAAAACAACTCAAAAGTAATGCAAGGAGATTCATGATGAACAAATTATCAACATGTTAAGAAACGACAGTACTAGACCCTGCACTCTCCTCACTCACCTCCCCCCATTTTTGGCCATGCTCCTTTCTACCAGAGAGGACTCCGGCCTTTTCCTCCCCAGCAGGTAGAAGCCACAGCTCCTCAGCACAGTACAAAAGGCTCCAGAGTCAGCCGCCTCGGGCTTCTGGACCCTCTGCAGCCTCATGGTCCCTCCCACCCACCAGGCAGAAACATGCGAGACAGGGTTAGATGTCGAAGATACACAGATGTCATTGAAACATGCAACAGACTGTCGTATCTCAGAGGGAAGAGGGAAGGGGGGTGCGGATAAGAAGAGATTAACCAAAATATGCACATATGCATAACCCATGGACACTGAAAATAATGGGGTGAAGGCATGGGAGGGGGGTTGGAAGCAGGGTAGAGGGGGTTAAGGGGGGAAAAATGGGACACCTGTAATATTTCCAACAGTAAAGATAAATTAAAAAAACCCCAAACAGATGTGTACTCCACAGCAGCTCCACCAGGGGGCACTGTTTCCCCACTTTCCAGCTCAGGAGACAGGGAAGCAGGGCGGAGAAAGGACTGACTAACCCAGGCCACACAGTCGGTAAATAGCAGAGCTGGGCTCAAAGTCAGGTCTGCCTGGATCCAAGCTCTATGCTCTTTCTTTCCTTGCTGCTCTCTGTTGCTTTCCCTCTGCTTCCTTTGCCTTTCTCTCTCTTCCTCCCAGTCATTCTGCTTGTCAATTTTTCCAGCCAAGTCACCTGCTGCTGCTTCTTGGAGACCTTTTTCCCCAGCACACTTAGAGTCAGCCTGGTGAACTCCTATTCATCCTTCAAAACCCAACTTTGGCATGCCCTCCAGGCTATTATCCCGACCCCTTGAGGTTAGGTAAAGTGTCCCTCTGTCCCTTTCTAGGCCTTTGTTAGGACTACCTTCAGATAAATTTTGGTAGGTAAGTAGGTGGGTGGGCCTCTCCTGCCCCAGTAATCTCAGGGTGCCCTTGATGGACTGTCCCAATTGGCGGCCTGAAGGTGTCTCCCTGCATGAATTCGGCAAGAGGACCCCAGGATTGGATTACTAGATAAAATACAAGACACCCAGTTAAATTTGAATTTTAGATAAACAACAAATACTTTTTTCAGTATAAGTCTATCCCAAACACTGCAATAGTCGACATTTCAATCTAACTGGGTGTCCTGTAATTGTATTTGTGCAACCTTCCAACCCTACCCCTGGACCTTTTGGCATGGCCTGTCTTTTTACCAGGGAAGGGAGAATACATGTATTCTGCTAACGCTTGGTGTGGGGAATTCTCAAAGAAGTTTCCAGCTTGAGGTGGAAAAATGCCCACTAGCCAAAAGCCAGGCTCTTGGTCAGCTGAGACTCTTGGCTGGCAGGAGGCAGTGGCAGTGTCCACACTTGCCTTGGAATAAGGAAGGAGGCGTTATGCAGGGTCTGGCCTTTTTTTCTGACCTTGCCCACTTGGAGCTCTCTGTAGTGCTGACCTCTCCCTTCTAATTCTTATTATGGCAAAATATACATAACAAAAGTTATCATTTTTTTTTACCATTTATAGGTTTACAGTTCAGTGGCATTAAGTATATTCACATTGTGTACAACCATCATCACCATCCATCTCCAGAACTTTCCATCTTCCCAGATAGAAACTCTGTCTCCTCCCACCCCCAGTCCCTGGGAACCTCTCACCACTGTCTGTCTGTATGAATCTGACTCCTCTAGGGACCTCCTATAAGAGAAACCACACAATATTTATCCTTTTATGTCTGATTTATGTCATTTAACATAATGTTTTCAAGGTTTATCTGTACTCTAGCATGTATCAGAATTCCATCCCTTTAAAGGCCGACTAACATTCCGTTGTAAGGGTGGACCACGCAGTGTGGATGTAAGCAGATCACATTGTGTGTATCCATCATCTGCTGATGAATCCCTGGGTGGTTTCCACCTTTTGGCTGTTGCGGGTAATGCTGCTTTGAACATGGCTGTGNGTTGTAAGGGTGGACCACGCAGTGTGGATGTAAGCAGAGCACATTGTGTGTATCCATCATCTGCTGATGAATCCCTGGGTGGTTTCCACCTTTTGGCTGTTGCGGGTAATGCTGCTTTGAACATGGCTGTGCCCGTATGTTTGGGTCCCTGCCTTTAATATCCTGGGGTAGACACTCAGAGGTGGAATTGCTGGCTCATATGGTAATTGCGTGTTTGATTGTTTGAGGACGTGCCATACTGTTTTCCATGGCCTCCCTTCTTCTGGACTCTCTCCTTTGTGCCCGTTGGTCTGATTCCTTCCCACGTCCCTGGCCGCTCCTTCTCTGCCTCCACTGCAGCCCTCTGTCCTCTGTACACCAGGGTCCCTTCTTTGGTCTCTGCCAAAATTCCCACACTTCACACCCTGGCTGGCCCAGGTTTGCCTGGCCCTCCTGTGACCTCGGCAGCAGCCTCCTTTCAGGCCTCCAATCCCATCCCTGGTGCCTGGACAAACTCTAGCGATCTCCTTTCTCCACTGCCACTGCCCGAAAGGTTTCCTTGTGTCTCTGGTTTTCATCTCCCTGTAAGTATAAACACATCAGGGCAGCCTCTTGGTCTGGGCCAGGGCACCCCCCCCCGGCAGGGGCCTCGCTGGGGGCTTATACCTTTCCTCAACATTTCCTGGGGGAGAAAACATGTGAGCTGGCCCAGTGGGGGCCTCTCCAGGATCTGACTACACACTGTAACTGGCCCAGGCCCCTGCTGTCTAGACCCTGGAGAACCCTGGGGGATGGGCTCCCCATTCAGACCCGGAGGCGAGATGTCCCGGGAATCCCCCTCTGCAGGTGGGCTTGCTGCGTGCAGTCATACAGGGACAAACGCTTCTTTAGCAATGTAAACAGTTGTTTGTCGGGTTGTCTCAGGGAAAAGTAGCACACCAAGGTGACTTCGTGCACTGTTTCCCTGTTCCATCTCATCATGTCAGAAAGGGAATTGGTTTCAAACGAAATAGCAAGTAAATACCAGGACAGATGGTTCTTGAGTGGCAGCCTGGTAGAAAGGCCTGAGTCAAGGGTTGCAGGCCTGGCTTTAGTAGCTGAGCCTCACCACGGGCAAGTTCCCTATGAACCTCAGTTTTCTCATCTCTAAAATGGGTGTAGCTTAGTCGGGCGTGGCTCAGTGGTTAAGCGTTGACCTAGGATCCAGGCGATCAGGGTTTGATTCCCAGTCAGGGCACATGCCCTGGTTGCGGGCTCGATCCCCAGTTGGGGGCAAGCAGGAGACAGCTGATCAATGACTCTCTCATCATTGATGTTTCTTTCTCTCTCCCCCTCCTTTCCTCTCTCTGAAATCAATAAAGATATGTTTAAAAATAAAAAAAATAAAAAATAAAATGGGTGTAATGTTGCCTTCCTGTTGGATGGCTCTACAGGTCACATGAGATGAGGTTTGCATATTGCAAGTGCTCAATTGATAGAAGCAGATATTAGGGTGGCTCTTGTTTTTATATTCCAAGTTTTTATATTTTAAGAGTCAGGGCCCTTCCTCTGGGCAAGTTGATGACTGTGGCAGACAGAGTCACTCAGTTAGTCCCCGGCTGCCTGGAGCTAACTGGAGAAGACTGACGATTAAATCCAGCAATTACAATCAACTATGACGTAATGTTGCAGGAAGCGGGCTGGGGAAGAGCTCAGGGGGCGCTGACCCTGTCTGGAGGAACAGCAATTCTGGGTTGGAATTTTACTTAGAAAAATCCCTTTCTAAAACGTACAAAACCCAGGGTAATCATTGGTGTGAAGACCTACTAACTGCAACTTAGTTTAAGAAAAGGTAGACAATCTTTAGACAGCTTCCATAGCCAAAACTAAATCAAAGAGCTCCTAGTTCCGACCATGTAAAATAGTCTCCGTGTGACATGTGAGTTATTTCTTTAACTGGCCATATTGGTCAAGTTTCAAATCAAGTTTTTAAATTGATTTTAGAGAGAGAGAGGAAGGGAGAGTGAGAGGGGGAGGGTGAAACATTGATGTGTGAGAGAGAAACATCGATGGGCTGCCTCCTGCACGCCCCCTACCGGAGATGGAGCCTGCTACCCGGGCATGTGCCCTGACTGGGAACGCAACCGGCAACCCCTTGGTGCAGGGGACGACACCCAACCAACTGAGCCACACTGACCAGGGCCAAGTTTTCATACATTTTATCAAGTTTCATACATTTTATCTTCGTCTTATCAGTACATAAGTTTCAACAGAGTTCTACTAAATGTAAAAATCAATCAATCAATCAAGGCCAGCTTCCTAGAGGAGGTGACAGCTAGAGAAGCCTTGAGGAATGAGTAGGAATTGGTTAGGCAGAGGCTGTGGGGGAGGGCATTTTGGGCAACAAAAAACAGAGTGTTCAGAAGCCCGCAGGCTTGAGGGTCACCGTACCTTCCAACAACTGGCCAGAGAAGGGCTCCTGACAGCCAGAGGTGCGGAGAGAGGGCGGATGGGGCTGGATCGCAGGCCCGGCAGGCCAACTAAGGATTTAACCTTTACACTCCAAACAGTGGTGGTAGGGAGGCGGGGGGCTGCGACTGGCCTTTGGAAAGATTATGTGGGGTGCAGAGCCAGGAAGGGGTTGGGTGGGGGCGAGGCAGAGGCTGGCGGAGCAGTGAGGACACGTGTGCAGATCACCCGGAGAGTGGTTACGGTGGCCTCTGCTGGGGGCCTGGAAAAGCGTGGAGAGATGTGGACAGAGCTGAGGGTGGCAGGTGCAGCATTCACAGGGACAGACGGGGAGGGAGGGCGCAAGGACAATGGCTTCCCTTGCTTCCAGCTCGTGATCAAGTGACAATGGCTGAGACACAGGGGGAGGTGTTCATTGGAGGTGCTGGGTGTAGAGCCTCTGCACGCTCCCAGTGCTCACCC